CTTAACTCCGCTAGACGCACCTCATTACGCGCCCGCATAAGCTGCAGTTCTTCCTCCATTTCCCCTGCTTTAATTTGAGCTCGCAATAACGCAACCGACTATTTTTCTATGCTTAGATGAGTCGGAGCCAGGAGATGAACCAGTAGCTAAGGGATTGCTAGAACGACCGACTTGCCTCGATTCCTCCGGTAGATAGAGATCCATTGGCGGGGCTTTCTCCATCTTCTCCGAGTTCGTAGATCGTTCAGTAGTGCGTCCGTTGATCGTTGTGTACTAGATCCGAACTCCGTTGAGTACTGGAACCGTTGAGTACTGTTACGGCTATCTGCATTCTGAGTTTGAGTCGCGCATGCCAATCCAGGAAAACGACCAAGAAATCCGAATTCTGGAATCACAGTACTATTGCAAATATAATAATATACATATTCAACAAACCCCAACGGATTCTCTTCTGCAGATACCGTAGGGTTACAAAATAGGGCGGTACAATCACCAGCCTGATGATAAACGCAGGTCACTCCGCCTCAAAATCGATATCGTCACAACCAAACAGATATCGACGGCGAGCAACCGCAAAAATCACAATGTCCGACCAAAGTCCGTAAGAGTTATAAAAATAGTTCAGTAAAACAAGAAGGTTTCAGTTCATCTGGTCAAGGGGAATAAATATGGAGATTGGCTGTCACTTGGGGTTGGAAACGGGAGCACACTGTTGGCAAGCTCTCTTCTGCACGCGGTATCACTGGACCTTCTGTGCCTCTAGTTGGTAGTTGCGCGGTCCCTTTAAGGTTACCCCAAGGTACTTCCATCGATTGTATTTTTGTGGTTTCAGCGTCGGAACCATCGACTATCGGACTCAAAATTTTGCGCACACTGCGAACCAGCATCACCTTACTGACTTCTGTGAACGAGAATGAACTCAAACAATTGATTCTTAAATGTTAAAAGACTACAGGTGGCATGCACATTCCGAAGTTACCGGAGAGCCTATATTTCTTAGGAGACGGCTTATTCCATTTGGCTTACGAAAGCCTGTTCGTCAAGCATTAAATTCAATGTGTGCGAAAGGAACACTGACTCCTGTCGAATCATCGAGTTGGGCAACTCCGATGGACTGATGGTATTACTCTGAGTATTTTTGGTGACTACCGGCTCACGCTAAATACGCGGCCACTACAACGTAAATGCACCATTGAAGAGCCAGAAGATGTACTGTATCGTTCATCAGGTTCAAGTGTGTTTTCAAAAATAGATTTTAAAGATGCTTAGCTTCAAATACCACTGGACAAAGCATCTAGTAATCTTAGCGTGATCAACACACCCTTTGGGTTATTCCGATTCAATTTCCTTCCCTCTGGTCTGAACGTTTCACCAGCTGTATTTCAGCAAGTTATGAATACTATTGCAAAAGATTTGGAGGGTGCTGAGACGCATCAAGAAGACGCCATTGTGCACGCTGCTGACAAAGCCACCCATGATATGCGTCTGTCGTCTTTACTGAAGCGATTTTCTGAGTTCAATGTAGCTATTCATCCTGACGAATGCACTTTTGGTGTGCCATCATTTTCATGTCTTGTCTACATTGTGGATGGCAGCGGTTTTAAACCTGATACAAACCGTCCATTCCCTTCAGTGAATGCGCCATCACCGACCAACCTACAAGAACTGCGTTCAGTTCTAGGAGCACTCCAGTATTACTCCCGTTTCATTCCTAATTTCGCCAGACATGCAAGTTTTCTGTTTGATGTCATATCCTCCAATCAATTTTCTTGTTCTTCCAACCATGAGAAGACGTTGCGTGCACTGCTTGGTTATCTTCAGACTTCAGCTGTTTTGAAGCCATTTTCCATCAAACATCATTCGACGATCATTGCTGATGCTTCTCCCACTGGAATAGGAGCAATCCTTGAACCAGTGATCTGCGTTTCCCGTCGACTCTCAAAAGCCGAACGTGGATATTCTCAGACTCAACGAGAAGCACTTGCCGTATATCTGCCATTATTTCACAGCCAAAACGGCTGATCTTACATTTTTCATGGGTAATGATTTACAACCTGCTACAGGAATAGTACTTTCATCGAATGGCAAACGGGTGGTCACAATCCTCGATTTGGATGATCTCTGTTGTCACCGGAGACACGTTGACCAGGTTGAGTTCAATACCATAGGTCAGTCTGTTAACAGCACTCCTGCTGTCTCAAATGCTAATTACTCCTTTGTAGATGATCTTATGGTATGCGAACAAAACGTATCTGAAGAACAAAACAAACGCACCACCTGTGATGAATCTGAAGTTCCCATTCTCGGAAGATCGGAAAGGTTGCGGTCAAGACTACCGCTGGGCTATAAACATCCACACGCTCCTTCAAGGTGTGGCGGATCTAATGAACATGACTGATACTCTATCCATTGCCCTGTTCATTATTCTCTTGTTTTATTATTCCATATGCTGTACATACATGCCAATTTGAACACATACGTGCTACTTGTTGCGCTGATCTGAATTCCGGCTTTCTAGTTCGTCTGGATATTCCGATATACATGCGAAACATAATTCTCACAACTCTGCAGTATACCAACAAACCTACTCGACTGTTCTGCAATTATCAAGGTGAACCACTGAGTTTTAACTGGTAACGGTAATCATCGAGCAAAAGTTGGTTGCATCCTCAAAGACCATGCGGTTTGAAGAATGTTCAGGGAATTTTTACAGCAGGAAGACGATTCGAAACTTCAGTTCAATTTTTAGTGAGCCAACGTTTACCACGGCTCGCGACTTCTTATCAAATTAGGTGACGTATGCACAGTCGGTGTTTATTGATTTTGAAGATTCGCTGACCTAACCACATCACCATAGTGGCTACTTTGCAAAAATACATGAACATATGCATTATATATAGGCATTCTACACTATGAATTGGCAACCCTGAACATCCCGTAGCTTTCCATAAATCAGTCCTATCATGCAAGTACTGAGTGGCATCAAGGGGCCGCAGCGATACTGGGGAAGCGTTTCACCAGAGGTATGATTGCTTCAGTGGACAAATCAATTTAGTGAGCAGATAGGAGTGGTTGCCCGTTTGAGCAAACACGATACAAAATGCATTATTTTGGCGTTAAAGTTTTGTTCCGACCGCAAAAGTTTTGCAGATAAGAGCATTGTGTAATTTAGGTGCGGCACAACCCCTCCACTTTCCCCGAGCTAGCAATTCAATGCCTCGGGACACCAGACCGAGCTGCGCTGCCCACTGGGCCGTGGCTGACCCAAAAGCGAGTAAAGTACAGCAGCATTGAGCGGCCGAAACTTCACAAGAACGGAAGGGGCTCAACAGTAGTGGTCTACCGATTTTAAACCTTGACATAAATGAAAAGTTTCTTGAGACTCGGATGACTTTTCAAAGACAGGCGACAGGCGGAACCTTAATGTATGTAGTCTGATGGTGGTAGAACACTCTGCGAGATTCTAGGCAGTCTAAAGAGACTACATGTTTCTGTCGCTAGTCCGACCAGTGGATTGATGGACGTATTACCAGCAACTGCGACCTCCGCCTGGATGAGCCGGCTAAAAATGCACCAGTACTAAATCAGCTCTGAAACGGAAACTGTGATTCTAAATTTTTTAGGTCTAACTCCTTAACGAAACCGTTAGTCTTCCCTCGTAATCTGTGTATGCGAAAGCAAATATGAAACTATGTGCAGCTTCCAGGATATATCTTACCGGGCTCGGCTCCCCCAAGTCTGCACCCGTTTTGGTTCATACCAGAGGGGACACGTGTTTGTGGCTCATGTTCTTTAGGATGAGATATCTCAGGGAAGAACCCCTACGAAAAGGTTAAATCCGCATTCATTGAAATTTTCAGGTCTCCCCGTCCATAAGAGAAAACGCGTTGACGGTTTTCGAGGGCCTTCTGAGGCTTGTCACCCGATTTTCGGGAAAAATCCAAGAAGGAAACACCAGGAAAGTGTTTGAAGTGGTTTTAGAGGTCTTCTTCCTCCGCAAACTGAAGATTGTACACTTCCTTTTGTTTAGCTTTTTTCTGCGGACTAATTTGGCCCTGTGCACTATTTAGGCGGGAAACCGAACTGCCACGGCTGTTTCCCCATCGGATGGTTTGTTCACATTGTTGTTCTATCCATTTTTTACTTTTATTTTTTAAATATGTGAAACGTGTAGTATGCAGGCTGCGAAAGCGCCTGGGGTCAGTGATTCTCTGAAGACGGATTCACAATAATCTTTGAGGATCGGAAACAAAGAAAGCTCATGAACCAAAGCACAATAAAGAAGGTTTCGCACCACCAATACTTACATATGAATCCGACAAAATGGTGCGCAGCGTATACTACACCCCCATGGCCTACTTGAACCGGCTGGTCCTAGTGATATGGTGTGTGCGGCTGGTAAGCCTATTCGGAGATGGATGTGATTGGTTTGCTCGCTGAGCTGGGCATTTTGATTGCAAACGCTTCACCACCAACCGAGGTGATATCAGTGCGTTGTTAGCGTGGGAGTGTGTGGCGATGGGTTGTGCGCGACAACCAACCCACCACTGCGCTCTCTAGTAACACACTAACGATGTCACCTTGATTGGAGATGAAACGCGTGCAGTCAACTTGCCCAGCTCAACGAAGAGGACAACGGCAATCTACGCTACCTGACCCACCAACATTCACCTTCCATGTGGTTTAGGACCAGTTTAAGTAACAGTAGCCGCAGGATCACGCGCCCTCAGTCAGGTGTTAGACAATTTCGCTGTTTTGTCGGTTTGAGCCTTGTGACCAGTACTGTTCCCTTGGTTATCGGCGAGCTATGGAAGATCAAACTTCTGCAGTGTTTCTCGCAGCCATCCAGAAATGTTCGAGGTGACTGCCACTTCATGTGTATTGTTGTGAGGACTGGTTTCCAGTCGGAAATCCTAAAAATTTGAACGCAGGTGCCCTCACCACTTCGGGCGCACAGACGTCATGGTAGTACACCATATTTCGTGTTTTATTGGCGCTGAATGTTTTGTGGGCTCCTACGCTCGTATGATTTGCATCCTTGTCCGTGTGATCTGGGTGTGACGCGTTCTGGGGAAACCGACGGCAAGACCGAAAATCTGAAGTGTGCTCACAACGACCGAGTTTCGAAACCGTTAGGAAGTTGTTGGTGGGCACTTTTGCGTCGTATTGTTTTCGCTAAACAGCCAAACGGATCTCAAGCTGACGACAAGGCCCGTTCCCCACATTCAGAAACGGGCGAACAGTTCGCTGGGTCACTTAATACAAGTGGTGTCTTATAGCTCACCTATACTTTCCGGCTGCCATAGCCTCCATATCTATTGTGGGCATGTTCAGGTGATCCGCTTTCATCTGCTCCCGGAGAATTCATCTTATGAAACGGTGACGAGTATGTACGATAGAAGCATTACTGTTAGACAATTATGTGTTGTCGAAGGTGATGATGACTAATAATTGCACCAACTTTGGTGTATGCACAGCGCTCGAGATGCACAGTCTGTCTGAGATCGCTTGCATCTGGGCTGAATCTTCTGGCGTCCGTCTTCTATCATTTCAACTTAGCTTCATATAGCAAAGTTAGAGCACCTTCCAGAACACTAGTGCAATCCTCGAAGAGTTCCAGACCCATTATGAGTGGGATAACTCAGTCGGTAGAGCAACAGCTTACTAACAGGAAAATTCTTGTTTCCAGACCGGCGTATCGATTCCTATTTAGTTTGAGTAACTTGGCAATCCCCAGAGCTTGTGACATCCATAGATGTTCCTACATCCGATTTTCACTGATGAGATGCATTTGAGGGTGGGAATGGCGGATGAATGG